AATTTACAGTTGAATCAATTATAAAATAGATAATCCTGTAAAATAACCATTCCAAAATCACCCATTATAACCTGTCAGCTAGATTTTGGCTTTTTCAAAAGGTGAAAAACCAAGCTTGGTAGCTGTCAGGTTACATGGTTAACAGCCCATCTACACAACCGTGAAAGAGCACAGAGAGACCACGTCATAGGTACAGCCCAAATAATACCATGATGGGCTGCTGCCAGGCTCATCAGAGAGTCACTGGTCCATCTCCATAAGCCCAGAGGAGCACGGGCACACAGTGGCAGGTGGAAAACCAAACTACGGCCTCCTGAGGAGCAAATACCTTGACTGGTCTCGTTTCAGGCTTTCACCAGGAAAGCCTCAGCCCCCTTGCTCAGGTGTGAAACCCATCAAGATGAGCCATTGGGAGCAGCTCTCTGGATCACACCTCAGGCTCAGGGGCTTACTGCGCAGAGGTGTGGGACACCTTATGGGCCTCAGGGGAAGAGTGTTTTGGGCATTGCCCAGGATTTATTATGGAATGTTTAGGAGAAGAGTCAAAGATTGGAAAAGGAAGGATTTAGGTGATTTGTGGAGGAACAAGTGTGGAAAAGCATGCTTGTGTGTGAGAGAGTCTGGACTAGCAATTGGATTTAGTCTCTAGCCTCAGGGGCTCATATGTCCAGGTCTCAGCAACTGGGAGGACCAGGATCTAGGGGCCAGCTACTGGCAGACTGAGTGTCTGAGCTCAGCTACCAGAGGGACCTTCCTTGTAGCTGTGTATAAATATATATTCTCACTAGTGGGCTTCCAGTCTACTCAGCCAGAGAGGGGAGAGGGATAAGGTCACTGGTGTTGTCTTTCTGTCTGTGAGCACTCCATGTGCCTGCCAGTGACATGTGTGCTGTCTATGCACATATATGCATATATGCGATGTACATGTGTGCTCTGTGTGTATGCGTACTAGGAATACTTCTCCAGCCTTGCTACTGTTTGGACCTGGAGGCATGGAGCTGCAGCAGCCTTGCCTCTCTCTCAGGCTGATCCAGCACGATAGATTTTCCTCTAATGGTAGCAGCAATTTTGAAGCCCACTCCACAGATTTTAGGGATCTAGTCCTACAGAAATTTTTCATCACTTTACTGTACTCATAAAAAATTCCCACTAACACCAGTGGAGCTACCAGAATATCTTCAAAATGTAGTCCTGTGGTAATGAGCACCCTAAGCTTCTCAGCAGAAAGGCCAAATATTGATTTTTATTTTATTCTTTTTTTTTTTAATAGAGATGGTTAAACTCGGTTCTTAGACATACACTGGGGCCAGGGTGGAAAGTTTACATTGGTGCAGTTTTGTTATAGCTTCTCTCTGGATAAACATAGGACTTACTTAATTTTCCGTTCTATCAATCCCACACCATTCACAAACAATAAAATTAATTTCTAGTTTAAATAAATAAAGCCTACTAAATTAGTTTCTTTACCAACACTTTCAAGCTTTATATTGAACTTGTTCACACAGCCAACAGTGTCAGTTAACAAAACAAAAGATGTTGTTTATTATTTTTGCTATTAATTAAGTCAGCTCTTTTGATGCAAGTAGCTCATTGGAGTAAACTATCTCAAAAAGAATCCAGTTCATTTGCAATTTGCAAATCAGAAAGAATTATACCAATATTCTGAGTTGAATTCGTTTAGTACTATGAACGTTTTAGAGTTCATGAGCTTTTACACTGAAATTCAATGAGACAGCTTTCAGGAGCTGAAACTTGCTAAAATTCACCTCTTATTTAAATCAGTTATATTGAAAACTCTTTTGCATTAAATTATCAGGAATGAGGGCATTGTTAAAAGTTATCCAACAGATTTTGGATTTGGAACTAGCAAAAGTTCAAAGCATATGCCTCCTTCCACTTAATTCTCAGGTTGCCCATCTTTCAAAATTTATCCATCTGCAACCAAGGTTAAAGAAGGAAAGAACCTAACTGCTTTAATCCTTATGGAAGTAGAGCCTAGACCTCCCACAATTCTAGCTCCTTCCATACGGGAGCCAAGCTGTCATATTAAGGCTATATGATGCGTATACACACGGTCAACACCAAAATGCATCGGATGTCTTTCGTAGGATACAATTATTTGCTAAAGTTGTAACATATTGTAATTCAATAAATTTTACTACTTTCTTTTCTCTTAAAAGTGCATTTTCATCAAGTTCCATTCATTGCACTGAGTCTTCCAGTCACTGCAGTAAAAGAGCAAAAATAGGGGCCACTATTTATTTTTCTTAGCTATTCTACCCTCATACACAATGTAAATGTAGTTCCTCCCTATCAGCAGATGGAGACAGAGTACACATGTTTTGACGCCATCATCCTTCAGTTAAAGACTCTCTCACCACACAAACCTGGACAGCATCCATTTTGTTGATCTTTGTATTTTCTTGTGGCTCCCAGGATAATGAATCAACATACTTTGGGGTTTAGTAATTTCCCTGATTTAAGGTATTTTTTTGGGTTTTGGAATTACCTAAGAAATCTGATTCTTGGTCTAGCTCCAGTTCTCAAGGCACAGTGCACTGCACAGCAAACAATAACAGCAACACACATCATCTGTTAAGTTCCATGAAAGAAATTCATGCAGTATTGCTCCATGACATAGTTCTTCAAATTGTTATTCATTACTCTTGCAATGCTATTTGACAGCATCATAAATGGTGAGGGTAACTGGGAGCATTCTAAAAGAACCCTGTAAGTAATAAGCTTAAACAGCAAACTATAGCCAAAATCCTTTATAAAATTTTTCTCACAGTTCATTATTACAAACTGACTTTTTGTTTTGGCCTGAGTAGCAGGTAGGAACAAGATAGCGCCTGGGCAGTATTAAGTGCCATTATCAGTTTCTTAAAACAGATACTGCCCTATGGAAGTAGCCTTAATTTCACTTTGAAAAGATTAATTATTCTCAATTCTGCACTCATCTGCACTTATGCTTTTGCCTCTGTCTTTTAAATCTTGTCCATTACATATAACTACAAAAAAGTACGTGGGTACAGCCAAATGCCAAATAACAGCATTTACTAATTATTCTCAAACATGTGAGGGTAAGGTATCGATATCCTACCAAAGTAACTATTTCCTGGGTGTTTCCATAAGGCAAATGAGCATGCACTCTAGGGATTCAAAAGTAAGGGAGTATTTTTTTTCCTCATAGCCTTAGTAAAAATCCGTAGCATGATGCTTCAGAAAATAGTCTGCATTTAGAAGCATGGCTCATTGAAACCAAAATAGATAATTCATTTTAACCTCTATTACAACTTGTCTTCGTCTCCCTCTGCTGAATGGGAGTTGCATACTTCCTATAATTAACCCAGTTAAAAAGAATTTTAAGAAAATAAGTACAAAAAGTGATTATTCCTTTATCTTGGCATTTTGCTAACAGCAATACAGATTCTCATCCATTAATATTCATTACTGAGTCACTTAGTATTTTGAGTCACACAGTTTCTGCCACTCCTAATTTTGATTTACTTCTGTTCACTGGATTACTACAATTCTGCTGCTTCCAACCTTGAAGCAAGGAAATACTATCCTTTCTCTTAGAGTATTTAAAGTTTTCAACTGTGCAGTAGGAATGGAAGGAACCTCTTAGTCTCTCCAACAAATCCATGCCTACAGTTTCCATTACATTTCAGTCATACTCGGTGGCTTTGGTTCTATCTTCAGTCTGGTTAAATTGACCCTGTGAAGAAGTAAGACAGTGAATGTATACTCTTGTTATGTTTAATAATGGTATTAGATTAATGAAATCCATTACTCTTTCAATTATCTTGCTACTTAGAGTTACTGCAAAAGTTTATGCAAATTAATTTTAGATCATGGTTGTTTTCAGTTGATACTTAGGGGTAGATAGGAAGCTCTTTGAATTGAACCTTTTGTTGCTTTTCAAATATTTTTTAATTATTAAAGCAAATATTTCTTCATTAATATGCTACTTGCAACTATTGCAACCATAATTAATTTACTTTTAAAATTTTGTTTTATTCTATTCTTTTGACATCACTTCAGCCCTCAAAATAGGACTTAACTGATGTACAGATTTTTGTGCTAGCATTTTGAACAATAAGGAATTCCACACAATACTACCAGTAATTTCCCTGACAGTATTCACAGTCTGGAGCTATTGAATCTGTGAGTAAGAGCTCTTGTTTGCTAAATGCAGACTATATTTTAAGGCAGATAATATTAATTTTGTATGATTAAAAAAGGCATAAAAAACCCTAATGAAACTTGCACATACTATGTTAGTTATAGCAAAAAGAAAAACAGTTGATTCTTCCTTCAGTTTCTGAAGTGTTCCCTTGTATGATCTCCTTTTTGCAAATAGCACAGCATACTGAATCATAACATCTCTGTAAAAAGTAAAATCTGAAACCATTAAGGAACTGCTCAGTAGAAGTCGATCTGCTCTACAGCACACCAAATTTCTTTCTGCTGAAGGAAGAAAATATGGTTCAGGAAAAAGAGAAGAATCATAACATAAGCCTGGCATTTCTTAACCTAATTATACCTAATCTAATGTGTATTATACTTGATGTAATAAAGTGATAGTCAGAAGAAAAATCTTAGCAAAGAACATTGTGAAGGTACCACTCCACATCTCCAGTCAATATAAAAACCCCAAGGAACTGTGATCAAGGGAAAGAAAGCAGATAGAAGGTAGGGAATAATATTAAAAATGTTGTCTCTAAATAACTAAGCTACATTTTAGATATGCTTTGTCTTTGTACGAAAGTACAAATATTAAATGACCTAGTAGGATTTTCTCTTTGCTCCTCAGCGGCTTACAGCTAGCTTGCAGATGGCCTCTGTCTCAATTCAGCTTAATCCAATCAACTCACCTCACTCTGTCCTATACTCACCTATAAGAATGGTTTTTTGGGTGAAAAACAGCTGCTTCTTCCTGCTAAATTGGCATATGGAATATAGCAACGGCACTTCCTTTCACTCATCATGTGTCCATGGCTCTCAAGGTCAAAACTGCTGAAACCAAGGTAAAGGCAATTGAGTTTGTGTAGTTGTGTATGTTACCAGATAGTGTTCAGAGAATTAAACAGCTACTGCAGGGCTTGAAAATGCAGTTGCTTACATTCTTACAGTAAGAGTGCTCTTCTTTGAAGTATTTGAGGGGTTGGAAAGGGAAATAATAGTTTGAAAGGGAAATAATGGTTAGAAAATGAAATAATAGTTTGAAAACAAAATGTGTTCTGAGGTTTTAAAAATAACTGAGTTTAAATTTCAGTGGAAAGTTCAAACAAAAAAATGAAGTAGAATGTGATAAAACTGGAAAATTTCACAGGATTTTAATTTTCATATTATTCTTTTAAGAATGTATTCTTAGCACCGAGCTGCATGCGTTTCCTTAGCTTACTGGACTGAGCAAAGCATGTTATACCTCATCACCACTACATCCCTAAGACAGGAACTAAGAATATTCTGAGTATAAAGAGAAAAATCCTGGGCCTTTGATGTCAATGGAAGTTTGTTGTTGACTTCAAGAGAGGCCAGAAATTCACCTCCTTTAATTAGAGGTCAACTGGCCATGGGCTCACAGCTGTCCTTCAGCTCTGCGATTTTCACTTCAGCCCTGTCTCACCACTTTTATTACAGAACGAATCTACATCTAGAGAAGATAAGGCTTCAAGGAGATGTTTGATAGAGGAGGGGCAGTGGATAAAGGAAAATTACAGGAAACGTGCATCTGCTCAGAGCAATGGAATGAAAATGATTCCCACCAAAAATGGGCTGAAGATTAAACTTGCCAGGCTTAGAGATCCTTTCAGGGGGGTACATTGTGAAAAGAGTGGATCGAATGGGTTATTTGGCAAATTTTCATTTAGAATAAGACTAAAGACAATGAAAATGTGAAAGCAGTGTTTAGCCCTATGACCAGCCTGGCTGAAGAGACTAATCACTCTCAGTTTTTGCTTGGCTTTGTTTTGATGTAGGTAAAGAAGAAAAAAAGTAAGACTGTCCTGGACATTTACCTACTGACAAATACCAGTTTGCACAGGCATGATGGATTTCTTTCCTATTGCATTAGAAACTAATGCTCCTTGATCTCTCTCCTCGTGGAAGATAGATGTACTATTCAATATTTAGCACTTTACAATATTTAGCAATATAAAAATAAGTAGCTTGCTAAATTCACAGTATCCATACTTCTGTCAATGTTGGATGTTTCTGTAAATATGTTACCTACCACAGAACCATTCAAAGTGAGTGTGAGAGATGTCTGAGTGAAGCTTCCTTCGTCTGGAGAGGCATCTGAGTTTGCCTTGAAGTATCTTTGATTTCCAAAGGAAGTTGGTTCTACTGGCTGATTGCCTTTACTGTTAAAAATGTCCTTCATGCATCTTTTGAATCTGTCTAACTAGAACTTGCAGATGTTTACTTCTTGTGGCTTTTCTGGTAGATTAAAGAGCGTTTAAGTACCTGGTATTTTCTGCCTGTGAAGGTACTTATCCATCATAATCAAATCATCCCTCAGAGCTAAACAGATTGACCTCTTTAGGGTTGCATTCCTAATTGAAAAAAAAAACCAAACAAAAAACAACCCAAAACATTTATAGCCATCCCTTTTGTGGATCTTCTCTGCACCCTTTTAATTTCTTGCTTTAAAAATTTCTGGCACCAGATCGGATGCCACTTTGTCTTTCCAGTGCTGCATTTAGGGTATGTTAGGGTATGCTTATTTCTATCCATATTCCCCCACCTTAAACCCCAAAGCATTAAGGGCTTATTTATTTTGTGTCACAACATTGCAAGAGAACCTAGTATAAGCCAATGCTCCCCTACAGCCCTTCTCAGAGTCATTGCCCTCTTGAATAAGGGCTCCTTCTAACAGCAAATAATAAACTAAATCAAAACAGAAATTGTACTTTAGAGCTAGCCTATGTTTTACGTTTTTCACTGCAATCTTACCTTCCAATTGTGTTTAATTTTAAAATGGGGACTTAAAAATATTCTGGATCTTTTATTTTCATTTATTTTCTTTATGAATATTATTAATACTTGTTAACATTACCCAACTTTACTCTCAAAATCCACAGCAATGATAGGGGCACTCAATAACCAGTTTTATAAAACTTCTGGAATAAAAGAAAGTATATAAAATGAGCAATTCTCTTTCAAACCTTGACAAATGGAAATGATTTTTGAAATTTCACAGTATCTTATATATTTGGGTTTTGTTTTCATTCCTTAGGTCTTAGTTGTTCTTCAAATAATTCCTCTTACTTTTTAGTTATGAATATGAAATTATTATTTCCCCTATCTCGGTCCCTGTAACCAATCTACACACATGTGATTCCTTTTACCTTTCTTCAGAATTAAGTTCTGTTCCTCTATTAGATGTTAACTATTTTTTCTAAAATTCATTCCCATTGTAAATGTGTATCCCATTCACAGAGGTAAACACTGACTTCTTTGATATAATTCCTCACTGAAAAATTGCAGTCCTCTATATTTTTCTACTTCATTTATTTCATATCAAATGTTTGATAGCCAAATTGGAT